TGTCTCAAAAATAAGTAAACATTAAAAAAAATTAAAAAAAAAAAGAAAATTAAAAAAAATAGAGTTCCTTATTAAAACAGCAATGTGAATGAGTTACTATTTCCTCAAAAAGACGGATGAATACAAAATTAAAGAACAAGATTTTTTTTTTAAGTACCTGGGAAGCTATTCTCAACTTTTATCATTTTGTCCTTGTTTCTGTTACTAATCACCACCTGCTTGAGTAGGAATCAGTATAGCCTCAGGCCAAAGACACTCATAAGGGGCTGCAGACTCTGAGGTTAGGTTCTTCTGTTGCTATGGGCTTGAGGTTTGATGTGGTGCCTTGTTTAAGGGTCCTTGCCTGCCAGTCTCTGCCTTCCTGCTTGACTGGCAGCAAAGAGTCAGAGTCAGGATGTCACTTTGTTTCCCGACCACACCTGGTGACAATTCTATTCCCCTTCCTAGTAGAGTTGCCAGATGAAATACATGTGCCCAATTAACATATCTTTTTTTTTATACTTACATATTTATATATTTGAGAAAGAGAGAGAGAAAGAGAGCACACTCAAAGCAAGGGGAAGGGCAGAGAGGGAGGGAGAGAGAAAATCCCACGCAGGCTCCATGCTGCCAGCGCAGAGCCTGACGCAGGGCTCGGACCCATGAACCGTGAGACGACAACCCGAGCCGAAATCAAGAGTTGGGCTCTCACCCGGCACCCCTACAGGTACCCAATTACATTTGAACTTCATGTAACCAGTGAGTAATTTTTTTTAGTATCAGGATGTCCCATGCAACCTTCGGGATATACTTATACCAAAAATTTATTCATTGTTTACCTGAAATTTAAATTCCACTGAAATGTAGTCCTATATTTTTCCCCCTCTAATTTGGCAGTCCTATTTCCTGACTGTAGAGTCTACACAGAATAGCCTCCTCGTCCGCTGCCCATTGTGGTTAGCAAAAAAAGAGGCACAAAGAATCCATGTGGCTTTTCTTCTCTTTGGTGCATTCTGTGCTGGGTCAAGACTGCCCTGGCTTCTGCCAGCTCTTTATTCCCAGTCCAGCCCCCACGCCTTGCTATGCTAGGATCGCCTTTCTCGCAATCCTGTAGCCACAGCATTTTAAGAGAGTTTGGGCCTCAAGCATGACTGTTTTTAACAGCCTTTTTCCCTCCCAGATGACTTAGGTCCCCTGTCATTACGAACGATTCCAACGCAACTCCGACGTTCCCAGGGGGCCCTCCCAGGGTGGTCTCACGACAGGGCACCATGCTGTAGCTCAGTGCAGTCCCATAGAAATGTCATTCCAGCCACACATTTATTTGAAAACTTTTGAGAAGCTACATTTGAAAAAACTTGAAGAAGCAGGTGCAGTTACTTTTAACGATATATTTGATTTTATCCCGGTATGTCCGCAGGCTAACATTTCAACATACAATCAATATAAAAATTATTCATGACATATTTTACTTTTTTTTTTTTTTTTTTTTTTTTTTTTTTTTT